AAAAGATCCCACAAGACCTCACAGTCTGAATTCAAGTCACAAGCTATCCCAATGAAAAACAACAAAAGCAGTCCTTTGTCATTGTTCAACCTGTTACTTGTGACTGGTCTTGTGACTGGTCTTATGACTGGGCTTGTGTTTGGTCATGTGATGACCTCTACAATACAGTTACATGTATCCAGCCAGACATATCATGGCATAACACCCTGAATAAAGACATTTAAAGATGTAGAATACATAATTAAAAGGTTGTTATTAATCTGTTGTGTGTTATTAGCACAACTACCGAGAAGGATCATTTTCATTAGTGCCAGGCTACCTGCCCTGTATCTGATGCTGAAGTAAAACAATTTTGCCAGGCAATCAGATGAGATGACTCATGTCATGAACCTCTGTATCCAGCAAGGGTACTTAACACATGTACATGAATGCATGGGCTAGGGGCAAGGGTTTCTGTACCACGGAACAGTACCACTTTGGAGACGCAAAAAGATGAATCAGAGAAAGTCAAACTTAAGATTGCATTTCACCTTCAAACTATTGTGCCTAACACTGCCTATTACTGTTAAGAGTCGGCTGCAAATTCACCATTCTAATTACTCAGTGGGCATGATCATGGAGTGGTTCAATGAACCATCCTCAATCATTTTCCCCAGACTGTTCTGCTTGCTTTGTCAGTAATGTGGATTTGGGGTTATTCCTCAAACACCTGTTATATCTATACAAACTCACACAAACCATTTAAAATCTTGGTTAACCCAACACCTCTAGTAATGCTATTGGTTTGATGATGTTGATGTGCCCATATTGTTGAAGTAGAAAGAAAACATTGTTTAGCTAAAATCATGAGACCAATCAATGATATAGGTCTGAGCTGGACCAAGGGTGGACGTGAGTTTCCCAGTAATAGAGGCTCCTTTGGTGGGAACAGCATACTGCTGATTCACAAACTATGAAATGAACGCATTACGGTCACATCACTACCAAATTGAACACTCTGGACCAGCATGGCTTTTTTCAACCGATGAGAGGGCGCTTCTGCTCAAGGTACGTGTAGATTGTACATGTACTTGATGCCTGATTTTTTAAAACACGTACATGTAACAATGAAAGCACTGGACATGGAATGTCCTAAAACTACCAAGGGAGGTAAAGGTTCAATTATGGAAAGTCTACTCTTCAGCAAAAAGAATGGAAAACATTACCATGAATTACTGTTATCTTGATCGTTATTCATTAAAATTCTGCAATGAGCAGTAAACCTCTATTAGCAGTTAGCATCAGTGTTAATGAGCCATTGACTCCAGATCTCAAACCTTGCATGATGTAGGCACCAGTAATGGAAAAGAATTCAATTCTGAACAACTAGAAACAAGTATATGAAAAAGCTGACAGCACAGAGTTGATAACAACCACAACAGTTTGAATTAGGAACAACTTCAAAGGCTGTGACAGGTGGACAGGTTGTAATACCTGTACTCTCAGTGATCTTTTACATTCCCATCAATGATGAATGGGCAGTTTCAAAACCTGTACACAATCTATGGATTGTAATTCTAAGTATACACAATCTATGGATTGTAATTCTAAGTATACACAATCTATGGATTGTAATTCTAAGTATACACAATCTATGGATTGTAATTCTAAGTATACACAATCTATGGATTGTAATTCTAAGTATACAGAGGAGGAAATTCAACCAGAGGAAGAAGATAAAAAAGGTGCTGTCACAAGGTTTTCATACACCCCACGCTAAGAGATGAAATGTAGTCATAGAACAACTGGGCAAGAGACAGAACCCATTTGCAGGTTGGAACATAAAATCACTCCAAGTCCAATTTGCCAGAAGCATTATTAATTAATCAGTCTCTTTGAACATGTAGAATAGCATGACATTCAGGCTGCTGTCATTGATGAACAAACCTCCTTAAGCCATGACTTCCGTAATATAAATGTCACAGAAATGCACAGCAGGAAAGATGAGCTTAGCCAAAAAAATGAGCTTAGCAGGAAAGATTCCTTAGCAGAAAAGAAGCTCAGCATGCTTGCTGGATATTGATTATAGCCCAGCAGGTAGCAAATTAATCTTCTAATATTCAGCCATAATTAGTACTTAGCAGAGAAGAAAAACAACATGTACGTAAACAAACAGCACTTGTGATATAAAGAAACCTTCCAAACCCTAACACTATGATAAGCATTGACAATGTAAGTATAGTCCTAGGATTTCTGTCACTGTATACCTGGTACATGTAAATGAGCATAAACGTTATCATCCATAAATAGCTGAAAGCTTCTCAATACCTTGGTACAGATGTACATAACTACCATGTAATACATTTCCAAGATTAAACACATATCAATGGATAAATGCCTGACTAGTCATTCTTCCATATGGACCTGTAGGAAGAGACATTGTTTTACTCCTTGATTGAAAGGGTGCATACCGGTTTATGTACACCATAGATGCTACACATGTACACTTGCAAAACATGTATGGAAGTATACATGATGTACATGTATTTCTGGTATATGGTCTTGAGTTACAAACCAATGGCACACTACCCTGTCAGATTTACCAAACTGAATAATCCACTCTACATGATGCACTTTGTCTATATACATACATGTATGTCATGGGACAAGAAATCTGCATCTTATAGAACATGTAGGCATTATTTACAAACCAAGCATCATTAAAAGAGATTAACACTTATCATAGTGTGGTTTAAGGGAAATTCCGATGAAAAATTTAAATGTGAGCCTAAATCCATCTCAAGAAAGAAAAAAGTTAACATTACCAACTACGTGGGTATAGTCTACTGTGATGACATACTGACTATATGCATGCTAAATGAAACGATATAGTTGACAACAGAAATTTTTAGTATGATTTTAGGAAACCTGTGAATCACCGCTGGTGTTTGGCACAAGTTGTTGGTTATTGATATTGGAATCATTAGGCTGGTTCCGGACCGGCCTGGATCGGACACACTAACCGCTACGCATGATGATCCAGTAAGTTACGGCATAACACTGTGCACAGTCTAGGTCTTGCAAAACGGGAACACTGGACCACTTACTTTTATTTTGTGCTGTAGGGAAATGATAGACAAGATTAACAGAAAACAGAAGGAAAAACAAGAGAAAAACAAACAATAATGGGTGAATCACACACAACAATTGATGAATGGAGAAACTGTTCTGGAAAAGGAATGTACTCGTAGATACAGTACAGTCCATTCAATTTCTTCAAATAAACTTGGAAGTTATGAAGTTGTTTACATTTTAATATGAGTACACCTTTAAAGGTTGTAACAGATACGTGTATATAAGAATTGTGACAAACAACTACAGTATAAATATGCACATTTTTCTAAACTAAATGCAGATGTTCACAAAAGAAAGCAAGCAAAAGATTTCTTTTACATCTCACTTGATGAGAGAATGTTGATGGCTAAATAAAGAAACAAAATAAACGAAAATGAAGAGGAAATATACAATGAGGTGAAGATTATGATGATGAATTTATGATAATGAAATTATGATGGATAAGTCTTTTTTTTTCTTAAATGTTGTTTTAATGCCAAGAGCATTGCGATTTTTCTTTGTAAGTAACCATTACATCCCTTGGCCGGAAAAGATCAGCAACACCGCCCTACGGCAGAGAACACATCAATTGCAAGCAGAAAATGAAACAGGCCTAAGAATATGGGGCTGGATTGGGCACACGCTGAGAAAACCAACATCAAGTACCACCAGACAGGTTCTGATGTGTGGTTTCCTCCCCAAAAAAAGAAGAAAAAGAGCTGGGGTGAGAAACACCTGCCGATGGGACCTCCAGTCAGGCACTAGGAAGATGGGCCTCACATGGAAAGCAGCTTGAGGTGAAAGCATAAGACACAGGGGCTCTGGAGGACTCTCGTCGAAGGCCTACACCCCAGGAAGGGTAACGGGCATAACTTACAAACTAACTCAAAGATTGCAAACGTAACAGCTTGTAAGATTTTGTCCTTTGTCTGGTAGAATGGACTTCAGCCAGGAGCATTTTCATAAACCAGCAGCTACCCATGGAACAAAATGATTTCATTAAGCCTTCTGCTTGGCAGCAGACATTTTGTTTGTATCAGTCCATATACACAACTTATGTTGCTATGTGGAATACTATACATAGTTTGGCATATTGAACACCACTGATCCTTGTGTGCTGTTCATCCATTTACACATGTGAATTAATGCCTGATGGGTACCAGTTAGGGACAGTTTCAATGGTCGAGTTCAGGTGGTCCATTCTTGACACAGGTTTCGTGTTCTTGCGCTTGAATGGCGTGAACACGACCCAAGAACACTGTTCTCGGAACAAAATCACACACCACCTCCTCGTCAGGATGGTTTCTATGCCCTATTGATATAACAAAGTAAGATTGTGGACATACCAGGGAAATGCCTAACACCCTTAGGGATTGTATTATCAGCACTCACAGGCTGTTGTTGAAATCGGTACACAACCTTGGATGGTATTTAACAGTAGGAAAACAAGAAAAACTAATTCCTTGAATGAAATAGTTGTCAGTTACATTTACCTTATCCCCTGCCAAGAGGACATGCACTAGCAAATAAACAATACATGGAGGTAACTCATTTACAATATCATAGTCAAGTCCAGCACAAGTCCCTGCAATCTAGCCCATCACAAGTCATCCAGTCTTAAGGCCATGTCACAGACTTTTCAGATGAACCACAATAAAGCATTCCTTTGTCATTGTTCATGCTGTTACTTCTGACTGGTCTTATGAAAGGGCTTACAACTGACCTTGTGAAAGTATTTGCAACTGGCCTTGTGAAGGGACTTGCAACTGACCTTGTGAAGGGACTTATGACTGGCCATGTGAAGGGACTTGCGACTGGCCTTGTGAAGGGACTTATGACTGGCCTTGTGAAA